TAAAGCGGAATAATCCCTACCCAAGGTGTTCCACAGCATCCCCTCTGCAGGACGTTGCCTTTCAGGAGTGGGTTTGGTTGTTTTGGATCTTTCTTTTTGGTCATTTCTGTTTCTACATGACCCTCTAGTCGGATGATTTCTTATTTTTTTTTAATTCCATGCTTTGATCAAGCATGTTGCACGCTCATTAGTGCACCAATTACTCTGGAGGGCCAGGCTCAACAAAATCTCAGGCTGAGGATTTACTTGGCTGTGTTCATGTAGGACGAGACAGGGAATTTTTATAGACTCTAGCCCCAAATAAAAGCGTTGATGCATCGGACTGTAGGGTTTTGTTTCTAAGAGCTTACTATGAAGTCCTCTTAAAGTAATGTAAGATCCTAATCCGCAAAATATTAAGCATGTGTCAGTTTTAAATCTGTGGAACTGCTTGTGCTTTAAAGTTAGCCACGCGTGTATAAATGGCCGGTTGAATCGAGGCCTGTCTTACTCTGTCTGAAGAAACCTACTTTTAGCTGCAGTAGATCAAATTTCTGCTTAAAAGTGAACTTGTCAACAAAAGGAAGAAAATACAAACACCAACATACTCTTGCATGGTTTGTGCAGCTGACAATGGTCTTGGTACACTGTCGTCTGAGTTCACAGTCATCAAAATCAATATTAAATGTTCAATGTGAGTCTCTTAAAACCAAAAAACCAACCCAATAAAAAAGTCCCACCCTGTAGCCCATGTACTCAATATATTTGCTACCTACTGAAGTCTCGTTAGGGTAGTGGGTTTCAAAACTCAGTTTTCTCTGTTTGGCCTTGTAATTATTTCGGTTTCCCTGATTCTCTCAGTACGCTTCCGTTGAACCATACTTACTTCCTGGTTTCTTTCCTCTCTCTCTCTCTCTCTTTTTTTTTTTTTTTACGTTGTGCATGACATAGGAAAATCTTTTTTTAGAACTGGTGGGTCATTTGGGCTGATCTGTTCTTACTAAAGAGTGAAATGTGTAAATAGCTGGAATGCAGTTTTTCAGGAGATTCTTTAAAGTAAGAGAAGGGGGAGGGAAGGAGGTGATTCTCTTGTGTCCCAAAGTCCATGTCAGAGAGAGTAAGTACTTCCTCTGATGTGAAAAATATTTTTGTAACTGGTTGAAAGTGCAGGTAACAAGTTTATCAGGAAGAGAGAGTAAGGAATACTAAGATTAGCAGATTCTTGTTTGCGTTTTTAATGTCCAAAACTGTTGATTGCAGCTAGTTGCTTCGAGCATTGACAAGGGCCACCTTTTGCCTATGAAGTTGTCTCAGAACCTTACGTTGATTAAAAAAGAAAAAAAAAAGAAGAAAAAAAAAAGGAAAAAAAGGAAAAAAAAAACACCTTTAATCCAAGTAGCATTAGGTATTGCTGTATGATCAGTTGTATGGTTATTTGAGAGGTTCACAATATGTGGCATCAAAAGCGTTTTTAGTGTTTTTACAGCATCCCTCTGCCACTAAATAGTTGACTTGAATTTTGAAAACGAACGTTTGTGTTTATATGTATATGTGTGTGTATATATGTATTTATAGATCTGTGTGTGTGAGTTCAAAGTGAGTTAAATAGTTTTTCCCATGCATGTGTATTTCATACATATCTGGCTGATATATATATTTCACCATACACCAATTTTATAATTTATTAAATGTCAGTTAAAAAAAATAAATAAAAGGATAGAAAATGGGAAATACTTATTTTTTAAACTCAGTCTGATTTTGAAGTGATTAAACCTACACTAGGATTATATCTCATACATTTTAGTCATGAATACTAACCTGGTAACTTCAGAGCATATGCCTTGCTGTAATACCATTTGTAAAGCCGGAGTACGACTGCCGTCCGTGTAACCGGGAGCGTGCGCGTCCCCAGCTTCGGAGGCGCCGAGGAGGAACGCGGGAGAGCTCGCGGCTGTTTCGCCGGCGGTCACGCGGCGACGCTTCCGTTGACTGTACTGTTAAAGATGGCCTGAAGAGCGGCTTGTGTCACTTTTGACAATGGTATTAAAATCTTGTTCATTCACATAACCAAACGAAACGTGGCGAGTGTGTGGTGATGCAGAATCCGGCATCTTTATGCCTCTCTCAGCTCTTGGAAAGCAGGGTCGGCTGGTGACGTCTTCCGTTTCCTCCCGAGTGACCCTGCGGGGAAGGAAGGCTGTTCCGTTGTCGTTGCCCTGCAGAGAAGGGACAGAAATGTTCTCGCGTCCTCCCTTGTGGTATTAACCCCGTATGCTTTGTGGGTATTCCTGTTCCATGCTAGGGTGTTCTTTCTAGGTGAAACTTCTCTGTGCCTCTGACCACAGTTGACATTGCTTGGTAGAAGTCTCAGTCTGCCTTCTCGACAAGGTCCCTGCAAGCGCCGCTCCGGCCTCCGTCTCGGTGGGTTGGCGTCGAGCAGCGCAGGGCGGTCTGGCTTGCGGGGCTGCTCCAGCCGCTGCCCATCCTTAGAGCCGGGGTCTCGTGTCCCCCCAGTTTTCCGCGGGAGGAGTGGGGTGTGCACACGTGTGTCTGTAACAGTGCTGCGTGTGCGCGTACACGCGGGCGTGAGCACGTGGCTGTTGGAACAGCAGGGTTGAGGCGGCTTTGGGGCGCTCTTTGGGGGATTACTCATTCGTCCTTTAAAGGAAGAAAATCCATGCTGACCTTGACCCTATGCCACGCGGTAAAAACTTGGTCGCACTTCTGTAAGGAGAGACGTGGCAGCAATTCCAGGCTTGCCCCTTCCTCCCCGTGGCAAGGATTGAGTGAGCCTGCCGAGGACGGGATGCCTGCTAGGCCCTCTTGGGCCTCCCTCCAGCGCAGAGCTAAGGACTGTGCGGATACGGTTTTGAAAACTTACTCTTTGTTGCAGTTGAACGTTTCAGGGTGATAAGCACATTTTAAATACAAAGGATTTTGTTTTGTCAGTGTAACTGGTTTTTTCTTTCTTTTGTTAACAGATCTTAGATTTCTAACAAGGGAAAATTGCTGGTGGTCCCCGAAAGTGCTGCTGTTAATTGTTTTAATTAACAAAGGGAAAAAAAAATGTATATAAGCAGAATATTAAAATTACCATTAATTCCATGAATTTAAACCTGTCATTCATTGCCTTAAAAAACTTTCTCTTAGTTTCCATACGGCATGCCAAACCAGTAAATGGCTTTTAAAAATGTATAGTAGACCAATGTCAGTTTGTATAAAAGTACCAAGTGAAAATATTTATTATATGCATTGAAAAAAAAATGGTTTACCTATTGAATGTTACCTGTTTATGTAGAAATCTTTAGATGTAATAAAAAGCATTCAGTTACGTTGTGTTTCCTGGGGGTGGGAAGGCAGGGGGGAGGGCAGGGTGTATTCGTTGAACTCCAGAGCTGCACAAGTCCCTTTGGAACAGGAATGCTTTGCTTCCACATGGTTTGTGGCGTGGAGCGGGTCTCCCTTCTCCCCAGGCTCCAGCCATCTGCGTCGCTGTGTGTGAAGTGGGGGGTGCCTTTTCCCCAGCTTCCACGTGGGTAGTTACACCCCCGGCGCGGGCAGAACCCCCCGTCAGGGTGCGGGTGCATTCTGGAGTAATCCGGAGTGATTCTGAGCTGGCCGATCCCGTGACACACGAGCTTTTAGGGCAGGATTTGTGCATCAGCTCTTCTGGTCAACAGGGAGGCCTTGAGCAGGGTATTGGCAATTGATGCATATTGGAAACAAATGCTCCTAAATGAGCTCCTTGTCTCGTCAGCTAATTATGCTCCGCTCAGAGCCGAGGCTCCTGCTGGCCCTCATCCCGAGTGCT